TGATAATATTGAGGATAGTGAGATTGAGTTAAGTGAGTTAGATTGAGTTGAGATTGAATAATTTTTTCGTATATTTGTAAACAAACAAGCTCTAAGCATTTTACCTTGGTAATTATTTTATGAATGTGACAAACTAAGTCTTTGTGGTCGATTTGTGAATATGGGCACAGGTTTGGACAACTTCAGGCGGTTGACCTTGAGAGTATTGAACCAGCCCTTAGAGCAGGTGCTCTTGATTTTATTTTTTGCATCATAATGAATTTATTAGATTTCTCATATTCTTCTGTTTCGGCTGAAAGGGTAGAGAAGGGATATTAGAATAATGAAAATACCTTTAGGTTTCTGATAAATGCTACAAATAATTTTATGAGTTTGAAAATTAGTTGGGGTTCGACTAAATCTCCATAGTATTACTATATGTAACCAACCTCTTATTTTATTCCTTGGGATGTGAAATGGCACCGATGTTTCTGTTAACCTGTAGATGAGGTCACCTTCTGAGATTATCTTGATGGGTTTTCCTTTTTGGATCTTCAGATACTGAGACCAGCAATCTGCGTGATGACAAGCCAGAAATTTTCGGAAATAGGTATTCGGTTAATTTTTATCCTGAGTAAATACAGCAGGTTAATCGATAATCTCAATCTAAAGCAACACACTCGTTTTATAGGGATGCCATAATAGCAGCCGTGCCCACCTATGACGAGCCTTATATAAAAGTTCCCAAAGTGCTCAACAAAGAATGATGCATAGTTGGTATTATCTTTGTCTACGTATCTTGTTTCGGTTTGTTCACAATCCTTACATCCTCGTTTCTTTATATATTTCGAGCATGTTCTTATTAATACGTCGTTTCTTGTTATGTGGTGATTTTTAAGTCATGCTGCACCGTTTTTAAGTTTTGGCGCCTGAATATTTAGTGCTAGTCTGTAAATTGCAAATTCTGCAGGGTGGTCAGTTCAGATACATTGTATACATCTCTTATATAAATATTACTGCTTATATATTGCAATGGAGCTTTCTGTATTCAGGTTTTGATTGTGTTTTTGTGCATCATATGAACACACATACATAGTAATATCTATAGCTGAGTTTGAGTGAACAGAATAAGATATACTGTTCCTGTTTATTTTAACAGCTTTTCACCATCATTGTTCTGCATTTAATGGTATAGTATAGCACTTAGCACATGAAAATCATGAGTATTCTCCTCCATTCAAACATAGAAAGTAGTCTTTCCCATGGCTAGTCAACATCAAATCTGACTTATTCCCTCTAAGATACTACTAAAAGGAAAAGTGTAGAGGAAAAAGAAGAAGACACAAAAGAATGAAAGACATTGGTTGTGTTTCGTAAAATGCAACCGAGTTAAGTTGAGTCGACAAGGTGTCAAATATTTCTCTGTGCTTGAGCTCAATGAGCCATGTAAAAAATGTTGTTCGATCTCTACTCTAGAGAAAAATAAGTGTGCTCAAGATTGAATTAAAGCTTGAGCTTGAGCTTGGCTTGAATATGGTTGGATTTTCAATGGTTCCACATAACGAATACAAGTTTTGTGTGTGTAATTGTATGCAATCGTGTTGAGTGCTCCATACAAGTTTTGTATGTTCGTACTCTGTGAAGAGTCGATAGTTACCAACTAATGCTTGCCTATAAATCGAGCTGTTCGATTATCAACGGAACATATATCTTAACAAAACTTGTCGTTAACCAATAAAATGGTAGACCTTGAATTATCTTTCCATGCCAATAAAAGAAATTTTTATGACATTTTGTGTGCTTGAATCAACAATACAAAATTTTGAAAGCACATATTAACCATTGAGTACCTTTGAATTTAAATAAAAACAAAATCTCAAAAGTAAAAGAAAACATAACATGTACTGGAGGATGGGAACAACCTGCGTACAAACCACACCCACCTTGTGGATAAGATTTGAATGTGTGTGGAAAAGTCAAATGTCTCAAATGTGAGATTTTTATTTTTATTTTTATTTTTTAAAAAAAAAAGAAGAAGTAAAAGGAACATATGAGTGATATTCACGAGTCATGTGACGGAGATCTAAAACTAAAAAAGGACAAAGGAGTAATTAAGTTCTATCCAAATCCTTATTGCCACGCCATCACCCATCGCTTTCATCCACTACACGCCACCGGACACGTGTACACAGTTGGTCGCCTGTGCTTTATCGTATTCCGGCGACCGGCCGTACAGTTATCAATTCGATTTTATCTATCACCAGTTGGAATAAAAGCCAAGAAATAAAACAAAACGCTCTTCATGTATCCAATCTAAATAGCTTTTAATCGAACCCTTCGGTGTCTTTGGCGACTCTCCCTCTTTTCTCCGGCACCGACGTCTAACCTAGTCCAGATCTAGTCCAAAAATCTGACTAGGAGGTTGAGTGACCATAATTTTTGAATTTGAAGTCTAGCCTTGTTGTTCTGATGAATTTCTTAGCTATGGTTTGGGGCTTGGTTGTCAGTTTAGGTGGTTATAGTTCTTCTCCTAGGATTATGAAGATTTTATTCTTTTCATGTATTAGGTGTGTGCTGTTTTTTCTTTTGCTTTTAGTTTTATTTAGTTAAATTCAAACGGCGTTCATTATCCATTCTGGAGTCTAGTCTTCTTTATGGAGTTGTGTTTTGATGTTGGTTTTGGTCTCATTGATGGAGGTTGTACACCTTGGAACCCACTCGAAGGGATAGGTCTAGTTTTTCTAGTTCCTTTAGTGTCAGTTGACACCCCTATTTATACTCTTTTGAGTTTTTCGGTTTTTAATATAAATGTAATT